AATTCCAAGGGCTCTGTCATCACTATTGCACTGAAACCGGCCCCCAGAACCAAGTGAGCATGTTTTGGTTGCGCCAAGGGCTTCCACAGTGTAGAACTTTTAGAGAACGTTAACTCCCTTCCAGAACCCCAAACCCTCACCAGGGTGCAATAAAATGTCCCTACACACTCTGGCCAATAAATGCTTATTAAATCAGAAGTCACAAACCAAGTCACAACTTCTTTACTATAAAAGTCATATAACAATGCCGATAATAAACTGCCACTCTAATTATGCCAGCAGAGCTCCTTTTCATTCCATTCTCCGCACACGCACAATTTTCTCCACCACAGCTGGGCATTCACTGGCATCCACTTCTCAAAGTGCCCAGTAGGTCAAGGAGGGCCAGGTAAACAAGCAGGGTGCATCGAGAGGCCTGGGTGTCCACCAAAAGGGGTAGCCACAAGCTGCAAGTGTCCCTGGGCTTGGCCAGAGTCAGACTCAGCTACGAGATTCCAAGAATTCCACCTGTTTCCAATTAGATACCAGAATTGCTTGAGTGTTTAAAGTACTTTCACTTGCTACTTATACACAGCAATTCTTCCGGGGGCTTTGACCATTTTAAATATGTTAAAATGGGATTAAGGGTCTGGTTTGAAACAATCAGAGGCAGGGAAATTTCAGTTGAAACCCAAACTATCTTTCCCGGGCAATAACACTGCTTCAGACAAAATAAAAGCCGACATAGACAACATTTCTGCCTTTGACAATTACTAATAAAAGTCAGACTTTTTGGTGGGGGAAGCAAAGTTACATATTAAATCATTCCAAATCAACTTTAAATAATCCTGACAAAAATGTCAGAATCAGTTTTGCAGCAACTGTACAAACGGCACGTCTTTCGGACCAGCAGAAAGATACCTAAGTTCTACAGTAGGTGGAATTTATGTGATTCCAAAATCAAAGGGGACGAGGGAGGAAAGCAGCCGCGCCCGGCAGGATGCTTCATGCCACAGATTTCTCCTAAAACATAAGCCTTCCCCTGACCATGTCTCCTCCTTCATTTCACTATGGAACCCAGACAAATACAAATTCTCTTTTCTACCTGAAGCCTTTTTTTTTCTTTACAGCCTGAGGAACAGTTCTAATCATCAAGGGGAGGGGGCAGGGGGAGAGAGAGAGGGAAAGGGGGAGAGAGGGAAAGGGGGAGAGAGGGGTAGGGGGAGAGAGGGATAGGGGGAGAGAGGGGGGGAGAGGGAGAGGGAGAGGAGAGAGGAAGAGAGCGAGAGAGCGAGAGCGCGCTAGAGCACTAGTGACTGCTCAGCGTACACACATATACACATTCGCGCACACACATACACACACCCTGGCAGCTTTCTCCTCAATGAATAGCAACAGAGACTTTTAAACAGCTGTTTTAAGGGCCCTGGGCTCCATGGAGTCAGCAGACAGCAGGTGAGCTGAGCGGGTTAGGATGGATGATGGCGGCACTGTGTCCTATCCAACTTTTCCTGCGTTAGCCAACTAGCAACATAAAAGACAGTCCTGAAATCGGAGATGCAGGCCAAAGGGCCTTGGTGCCCCGGATGGCAGCAGGAGCTTTGTCCCTGCTCTGACTTGCATCTTAAAAAATTAAAATAAAAAAAAAAAAGTTTGACCAGGCAGAAACTTTAATCAACTGGTAATAACCCTCTCCAGTCCCAACCTCTAAGACACCATGTTAGAAGCAGCCAGAAAAGAAAAACAGGAACAGCAGCCATTTGGTTATTCAAGTAGATACAACATTTTAATTAAGATACTAGACTTCATACAGGGAGCAGTCTTGATAGTAACGAACACATTTCCATAACAGGAGATAAAAAAAAAAAAAAAGCAAACAGAAGACCTGACTTCTGACAAAACTGAAATTGTTTTCGGCTCTTTTTCTTAAGAGCACAACGTTTCAAGAGGATAGTGCGGGAGGGAAGGGCAGGGCAGGGCCAGCCCCAAAGGTTCACAGCTCCCCGACACAGAGGAGAACTGCATGTGTTTCTTTTAGAAAGTGTCTCTTTTATTTAATAGATAAACTTATACAATGGTGGAGCTTTTTATTTTTTAAAAAAAGTCTGGTTTTTACAAGTCTGGGATAAGGTAAAAACTTGTCGAACTAGTCTTAGCAACGCCAAAGCACAGAAACTTCCATACCACAAGCCTCAGGGACTAAAAAGGAAACAAGATAGAGAAAAATAGAGCTGTCTTCATAACCCCCCACCACCACTGGGCACACTGGAGTCCTGGAAGATTCCAGACCCAGGAGCTCCCTGGGAGGCTGCAGGAGCCAAGACCAGCCTGGCCCCACCCACCCCTGTGCCCAAGCAAGCTGGGCTGGGCTCAGGGGGCACACTAAGCTGGCAGGCAACCAGCTCTGAGGGGAAGAGGGTCTGGAAAGACAAGCCGAGTCTGAACCTACTGAATTCCTGTTCCTACTGAATTCTTGTTCCAACTGTAGTCTGCCTCCAGGCAGGCTGGCCAACCCCTGGGAACACACAGGTCACTCAACTAGATACAACTCAAAGGGCCTCCCCAGGCTCCAAAGGGAGGGGGGAAAAAAGGGAGGAAAAGAAAAAAAAAAAAAACCTGGTCTTGGCCTTGAACTTGAACTTTCCCATTCCTTATTCAACTGATGTTTTTTAAACACTCAAATTCACCGGCTGCAATGGGCAGTCATGATCTACCACAAAAGGCAAAAGATGCCTTCTGCAAAAAGAAGGCTGTACAGAGACACGGGCTTTGGTTCTTGTTTTTAAGATCAATACAAAGTTCACTCTAGTGAACTGTAAGGGAAGCTTCCCTTGGCATCCCCTGGCCACGAGGTTAAATGTCCCCAGATCCCTCATCAATAAGGGGAGCGCAGCTATTTATACTACGTTTCTAAGATGTAATGACGCTCTAGAAACCAAATCTATTTTCTGGCAGCTCTGCCAGGAGACTTAAAAAAAGAAACTTCACTGATATTAAGTTAGGAAGATTGGAGGGGGTGGGGGGGGAATGAAGGTTGGTCTCTTGAAATTCCACAACGGGTTTTACAGTAAGCACAGCAATTAAATTATGGCAAAAGAGAGCTATTTTTACTAAAACAGGGTAGACCAATTTATTTTTTTTAAAAAAGCCATTCGGCTGTGTACATTACATTCAGGAATCTAATTTACGCAATAGACACTTTGGAGTAATCTATTTTAGTCAATAAATACTCAAACTTCTTTTAAGTTCTAATCTTATCGGAGAGAACCTATTTTGCAGAGTCTCGTTCCTAGTTCTTCAGGTGGGCAAAGGCAGGGAGCAGGCGCCCACAGCCGAAGTTGTCAGCCTGCACACGTGTGTGTGTGCGCGCGCGCGCGCGCGTGTGCGCGCGTGTGCACGGGCCCGGTGGGGATGGAGTCGCCTGCCCCTAAATAGGCTGGGGTCACTGTCACCGGCCACTGGGTTGACAAAGTTCAGCCAGGTTCGTTCCCGAGGACCCTGACTCTCCCCCCTCCTGTCCTCCCCCCCTGCTCCCGGTCCCCAAACACCTCGGGCTGTCCCCGCGACCCCGGGGCCCCACGCCGGTCCCCACGCCGCTCACCTTCAGCTGGACTCCGGCCGCGCACAGCATCCACCCGGCGGGGTCCCGGGGCTGCCCGGGCGCCGCGATCGCCGGGCCAGCGGGCGCGGGGCGGACCCCGGGGACGGCCGGCGGGAACGCAACCCGGGGGCGCGCCGGGGGCTTGGGCACCGCACAGGGACCCCAGCCCGGCTCGCCGCTCGCCGCCGGGGCTCCCCAGCCCGAGCGAGCGTCTCGGAGTGGACCCGCCGCCCGTTCCATGGCAGCGGCGGCCCCCCGCACAGGATACGGACCCCCGCGGCGAGAGGGTCGGGGTCCCCGGGCGCTCGGCGACGCTCCCCGGACCCCGCCGCCCACAGAAAGCGCCCCCCGGCCGTTCGACGGGGCGCGCGGCGCGGGGAAAGTTGGAGCCTCCGCCTCCCGCACCCGCACCGGCGCCCGCGCCTGGGGGGGGTCCGGCCGCCGCGCTCCCCCGGCCCCGCGAGCCCGGAGTCCCCGCTGCCAACCGCCAAGTTTCCCCAAAGCGCCCCCCGCGGGGTCCCCGGAGCGCGGAGGGCCCGACCCGCGCCGGGGCGCCTCACACAAAAGAGCGGGGCGGCTGCGGGGGCCGCGGGGCAGGCCGCCCCCCTCCCCTCGCCAGCGACCCGGGGCGGCCACACGCTGGGGTCCGCGCCGAGTCCCGCCGGGCGCCGAGCCGGGCGCCCCCGCCGCCAGCCGCCAGCCCGAGGCCCCGGCCCCGCCGCGGGGACGCGGGGCGCGGCGCCCCGCCGGTCGCCCGGCCGCCTGGCCGGAGCCGGGCCGCGCCGCCGCCGGTGGCCGCCCGCCGGTGGCCGCTCTGACCCTCCCGCCCGCCGGCGGCACCACAGCGCCACCAGCCTCGGCTCCGCCGCGCCGCCGGCTCCTCCCGCGGAGCACGGCGCTTCACCCCCGCCGCAACTCCCCACAAACTTTCCCGGGGAATACGGCGGGCCGGGGGGCGCGGGCGCGCGGGAGGAGCCGCCGCCGGGGCCGCAGCCCCCCGCCCCGCGCCCGCCGCCGCCCCGCGCCCACCGCCCGCCGCGCGCGCCCCAAGGCCGCCGGGCCCCCCCCCCCGCCCCGGTCCCGCAGGCGGCAGCGCCGGCGGCGGCGGCGCAGGGCCGGGGGGGGCGCCCGGGGTGGCGGCGGACACCGGGGGGCAGCGGCGGCGGCGGCGGCCCCGGCGCCATCTTGGGCTGATCGATGAATTGAACAAAGAGGATCAATTTCCGATCAAGCGGGTTATCAATGGGGGAGCGGGGAGCGCGAGGGACCCGTCCTCGACCCGGCCCCGCGGCGCCCGGCACCCCCTCCTCCCCGCCGCCGCGGCCCCCCGGCGGCCCGGCGGGCCCGGGACCCCCGGGAGAGGCCGCAGCCGCCCGCAGCCCCCGGCCCCGGGAGCGAGGCGGGCGCGGAGAAGCCTGACCTGCAGCTGCTGTAAATCAAAGCGCTTCCAATATTGAAACATCGATCCCACATTGGCCGCCATCTTGAGACATATTGAGACGGAGTGAGCGGCTGATAGCGAGGGGGCTGGAGTTCAGAGCCGCCAGGCGGCGGCGGCGGGCGGCGCCAAAACCCGGCCTGGAGCCGGCGGCCGCCGCAGCCACGGCGGACGCGGACTCCGCCTCCTCCGCCTCCCGGCGCCGCCGCCGCCGCCGCCGCGAGTGCCCGCCGCCCGCCCGCACGCCTCGCCCCAGTCGCCCGGGTCGCGGCCGCCTCCCGCCGGCCCCGCGCGGCCTCCGCCCCGCGCGCCTCCCCCCGGACGCGGACGCCGGACGCGCGACCCCCGCCCGTCCGCCAGCCCCAGCCCGGCCGGCTCGGGCCCGGCCCCGAGGGGGCGCTGCGGGGCCGGCGGAGGCCGCGGGCTCGAGACCGCTCACCTGGAGCGCGGGCGGGGTGGGAGGCGGAGGGTTGCGGTCGGCGGCGCCCGAGAACCGCGGGCGGCCTCCTGGGAGCGGGGCGCGGGCGGGCGGAGGAGCCGCGACCACCTGCTCCAACCCCGACCCCACGGCAGCCGCGCGCGTGCGGGGTTCGCGAGGACGCGGACGGCGGCGCGGCCCCCTCGCCTCCCCGCCCGCTCCGCCCCGCCCCGGGGACCCGGGGTAACGGCGGGGCTGGGCGCGGGGCGGCCGCGCGCGCGCCGCCCCGGCCTCGTCCTCTCGGGACAGTTATGTCCCCCACCCCCCTCGCGTGGCTTCCGCGACAAACTTCCCCGGCTCCAGACGGACCCAGGCGGGGGGCAAAGTGTGGGGAGGGGGGAATGGGGGACGCCGCTCCAAACGGGGCGCCCGTTCCGAGTTCACAGGAACGCTCAAAGTTCAACCCTCAAAAACAAATAGGTGATCTCCCGGTTTCCCGACGTCGCGCGCGGTTTCCGACCGTCGTCGTTGGCCGAGGGCCGCGCGCGGGCCCCGCACCTCATCTAACGTCTAGTTAAACACGAGGCGCCGCGGTAAACTAGGTCTGCGTGGAACACGGAGGGAAACCGGAGCGCGGAGGGAGCCAGAAAATCATGACTAGTCAGCGGAATCCGGGGCTGCGCGCCGGGTGCGGGCCGAGGGCGCAGCTGCTGGACCAACGCGCCTCGCGCGCCCCCCGCGTCCCCCCCAGACCTGGAGAGCGCACGCGGCTCGCACCAGCCTCGGGATGGGGCCGAGGCGGCGAGACGAGGCTGGCCGCGCCCCCGGAGCGGCCTGCAACCCCGGGGTCTGTGCGGAGGGCAGGGGTCGTTGGGGTCGCGGTGCCCACCGAGGTACCAGTGTGCGCACGGGGCGCCTGACCCGCCGCGGCCCTCGCTGCCCGGCGTGGAGCGCCCGCCCGCCCGCGCGGGCTGCAGCTCCGATGCCCAGTAGAGGGCAGCGGCGCCCCGGCACTTGGGGCCTGGGGTCGTCGGGTCCCAGCGCGCTGCCCACCCGCGGCCCCCACCCCACCCCGCGCCGTGCCCGGCCCCTCCTAGGCCCTGGCCGGGAGCGAGGCTGCCAGGTTCGCGGCCTTCCTGCGCAGGTGGAGGGCATCGGGGCGACCGTCCCTCCACACCCCGAGCCGGGCCGGCCTCCCTCCCCTCTGAGCGCTGTGGCAGGCAGGAGCCGGACCTGGGAATTAGCCCTTAAGAAAATGTACAGGGGCTTTAAAACAAAAAAAAAAATTTTTTTTAATTCCTCCCATGGGGAAAGATCAGGGAAATGGTTTGGATTTAGTACAGATGTTCTCAATCTAATTATCCTGTGGATCCCCTTGGGTTTGAACCAAAAAAAGGGGGGGGGGGGTGAGACAGTGAAATATATCTGACCAGTGTAATAGTGTAATACTCCAGAAATACATCTGGTTAGAATTCAGGGCTCTGAATCCACTGCAATATTTTCGATATCAAGTTGATGAGAAGTCGATACATTGAGTTACATTACATCGTTACATTCTGGGTTGTATTTGTGTTATTTACATGTTAACCTAACTTACTGGGTGAGGGGGAACAAAACATGATACTGGGTGGTCCAGAGGTGAAGCTCTATTTAAATAAAATGTGTATCATTTCTACCAGAGTTTTGGGTTCTACCAGCCTTACTGATCTCTTTATAGGTTGGGGGCGGGGGCGGGGGGGGGGGGGGGCGGGGGGGGGGGGGGGGGAGTGGAGAGATAGGTTAACTTTGCTGGCAACACAAAACATTAGCATTTTTCAAAGGAAAGCCATTCCAGGTAGACCACTAATCAAAAAAAAAAATCTTGGTTGAATGACATAATCTGGACACACACACACACACACACACACTTTAGGGAGTTGTTTTTTTTTAACAAGTCTAGATGGGGAATAGATGCAAATTATATCTGTTTCTATAAACTACTTCCTTTCTTCTTTTTCAGATTTCAGCCTCACATATGCCCAAAGAGGCAGCATTTGCAAAGTGAGCCTCCTAAAATATTTCGAAAATGAGAAGGTTCTGTAGTGCATAGATATCCATCGACACCCACAAAGATAATAACTGTAATGGCTCTGGCCGGCCCAGAACACAGTGTGAGAAAGGGGAGGGCTGTCAAAATAACTGGCCCGGAATCACTGGCCCGGGACCAAAAAGCACCTTGACATGTAATTGATAGTACTTAGAATGAAGCGCAAGACAAACAATCCAGAGGTGTTCCGTCACCTTTTTAATGTCCAGACTCTCCCTTTAGGGGAAGAGAGAGCCTGGGTTCCCAGAGGCGTGACTCACCCGCCAGCTCAGCCTTTCAACAGTAAGCCCCCAGTTATCAGATGGAAACATTAACCCAAGTGATGTTTGTTCCAGGAGCCTTTTACAACCCCCGCACCAAATAAGGCAACTAAATCACTCTAGTGTGCGCCCAGAATTTCTGTTTCCCTTGTGATCTATTATTTCATTTTGCCTTAAAAAAATAGTGTGTGTGTTTGGGGGAGAGGGAATGGGTCGATTAGGGATTAGCTAATGTCATTTATGGAAAACTGTAACAAACCTTCTAGAGTTTACCTCAATTTAATTGAGTCCTTGTTCTAATATTCTTCACTTGGCTCCTGGAAGGAATTAACCCTTTACAAATTATTCCATACTGGAAACTGTTTCACACAGTAGGCCAAGTTTGTTGTTGTTGTTGTTGTGTTGTTTGGGGTTTTTTTGTGTGTGTGTGTTGTTTTGTGCTGAAACTGGGGCTTGAACTCATGGTCTGAGAGTTGTCCCTTAGTTATTTGTACTTAAGGCTGGTATCTTACCACTTGAGCCATGGGGCCACTTCCAGATTTTTGCTGGCTAATTGGTGATAAGAGTCTCATGGACTTTCCTGCCTGGTCTGGCTTTGAACCTTGGTCCTCAGATCTCAGATAGTATTACAGGCATGAGCCATTGACGCTTGGCTTGTAAACCAACTTTTAAAAACAAGTCATATTCTTAATCCCTGATCAAAAAGAAATCTATATCTTATTCATTATAGATCCCTTAAAAAATTAGCTTCCACCTACAAACACAGGAAACTAGGGAATCCTTCAGAGTTTTTTTTTTTTTTTTTTTTTTTTTTTACCAAAGTATGTATTTTTTATCTTAACTTTTTTTTGCCGGTAATGGGGCTTGAACTCTGGGTTATCTCTCAGCTCTTCAGCTCAAGACAAGTGCTCTACCAATTGAGCCACAGTGTAACTTCCAGTTTTCTGAGTGGTTTATTGGAAATAAGAGCCCTGAAGATTTTCCTACCTAGGCTGGCTTTGAACTATGATCCTCAGATTTCAGCCTCCAGAGTAGATGGGATTACAGGCCAACGCTCAGCCCATTCTTATTTATTTTTTTAAGTAGTTGTCCAAATGGCTTTCAATTCCACGAATCAGATTATAAATACAATACATCTTGATCTCTGCTACCCCTTCCATTTTTAAATTTAAAAAAATTAAAACATGCTTCAGCTGGGCGCCAGTAGCTCACACCTGTAATCCTATAAATCCTGTAAACCGTGATCTGAGGATCACGGTTCAAAGCCAGCCGGGGCAGGAAAGTCCATGAGACTCTTATCTCCAATAAACCACCAGAAAACTGGGAGCAGCGCTGTAGCTCAAGTGGTAGAGCACTCGCCTTGGGCTGAAGAGCACAGGGACAGCACCCAAGCCCAGAGTTCAAGCCCCACGACCAACAAAAAAAAAAAAAAAAAAAAGCTTCATAGGGGGAAAAAACAAGCTATTTATCTTAAAACTTCAATTCATTTTCTTAGTATGTTTGCATCCAAATTAAAATTGGTCTCAAATAGCTTTCAACAAGAAATCTTTTGTGGAATCAGATGCAATATAAAATGTAAAAAGCTACCTCATAATTTATTGACAATAATCATAAAGATATAGCTATTTGGGGTAAAAATGAATCACAGTTTTTATGTGTATGTGTGTGTACACGTGCGTGTGCATGTACTGGTCATGGTATAAAACTAGGGCCAAATATTAAAGGCAGAACTCCTCTGTAGAGAGAACCCCCAGGTGAAATGGCCAGTAGTCAGCCTAAGCTTTTTCCATCCTTGCTAAAAAGCAAAAGAACATCTCTCTCTCCCTCAAAGAACATCTCTCCCTCACTAAGGTTTACCAGGCTGCCAGCTTTGCAGTTCACCACAAACTTTGCTGAACAACCTTGAGGCTTATCACCAGCTGTACAAAGTTGTTGAATTAGTCAGGAGCTTATAATAAAAATCATTTCTGTAAAATAGGCTACCCCTGCCTAAGGTTATGTTTTGACTTTTGTAATCCAAGGGTATGTTTTGACTTTTGTAATCAAGTATCAATAGTATGAATATTATTGGTCATGCTGACCAAGTCAGGACTGTGTTTTTCTTCTTCTGCAACTCAAGGCTATGTTTTGCTTCTGTAAATCTGCTTGCTTGCCTTGACAAGCTCCCCCTCCCCTGCCACATGTGGCTTTTCCTTTAAAAGACCCTCATGGGAAAAAGACCTTACTGCATCTCACTACTCAAATAGTGGGGTAGTCTCCACTCAGCTAATAAAAAGACTCCTTGCCCTGTTTAACTGAGTCAGTGGCCGTATTTTCAAATTTGGGATACTTCACTGGGATTTGAACTCAGGGGCTGAGCGCTGTCCCTTAGCTTTTTTGCTCAAGGCT